GTAGTGCTGCCAGTGCTGTTATCTTACGTACCTATCAGCCGATATGTCAACGTGGTAATGCAAGTTTATAACCCTGTTTTTGAAGTTTTTAGAATTTGAACAACTTAAATTACAATTATTATTATTATTTTAAGCCAGCTATTATTTTACGCTAATTCATACTCGTATATAAAAAATCCGAGCTCTGTTTTTGTTATTTAAATTATTATTTTAATGGCTTCTGATAATAATCAGTTCGTAATTGTTAAAATCTATTTCTCTCTTTCAATACACACTTGATGCACTTTTTTAGGATTTTTCTGTGGAAACTTTTTAATACTTTTCCATTTGCTCCATTTAAATTAATTTTAATGCCTCCCCGCTGCACAGAGTCACCAAAGCGTTTGTTTGTAAATAAATTTGAATAAATACGGAATTTATGCTCGCAGCTGCGGCGCATCGGCAAAGCCCACGACGGCAATTTTGTGGGCTTAGTGCGGTACTGCAGTATTTATCTCCCATTGCCGGCGTTTATGCTAACTAAAACGTATCAAACGCTTAAATTGTTTTCAGTTTATTAGCATTTATAATGCGATATATAATGCGATACTTTACTTATGCACATTTATAATTTTTTACCAAATTTTTCTCTCCTCAATTGATTTTGTTCGGTTGAGCGTGAAATTTGTGTGGCACAGTTTTTCGGTTGTCAATTTTTAGGTAAATCTCCTCCTGCGTGACACAACATTATTTATTTTCATAATATTTAAAATTTCGAAAATTTAATTGAAAATATTAATTTCTCAAATAATTCATTCACATAAGGATCTACTCATCCCTGAAGTACACAAATGTAATTTAGAATAAAAAATCAGGGCAAAGTGCTTTTTGAAGCCACCAGTAATGAAATAATTGAAAGTCCTTGAGTCATTGTGGGTGAATAAATTTCACTTAAAAATTCCCTTTTTACTTCTTTACCACTTTGCGCTATTAGAAAAAATTTTAAAAAATTTATAAAATATTTCGAAATACTTTTAACTCGTTAATTTTTAAAAATTTACTGCCTTTGTGCAGTCAGTTAATTGGATTATCATAACCATTGCTCCACCGTTGCTCCGTCATTGCTCCGCCATGGCAACGCAATTACAGTGCCACCAACCGCTACGACTACACCTAATGTCGGAGCCGTACAGCACCGTACAACAACAACAACATTTCCAAGTTTGTATATATGATGTAATTGTTTTGGAAAACAACGTTCGCAGTAGAGAACTCTGTAACACATGCCCGCAGCACTTTCTGTACATTAGAGCACATGCGAAAAAATCCAAAAAAATCCTGTGAAAAAAGAAAGTTTTCAAGTTGCTGGTTTTTTATTTTTAATTACTAAAAACAAAGTTTTATAAACTTTTACTGGTACTCGGTGGCGTCACAAAAGTATCGGACCCCAGCTCAGTTTTAAGTTTTAAGCTATGCACAAAAATGGGATAAAACTGAAATTGAAGCAAGAAAAAAATAAATACTGAAATAAAATCACACAAATTTAGTAAAGCTAAAATGCTGGTATTTTTATTTTAGATTTTTATTACATTTTAAGTACTTTAAAGTTAAAAGCAAACTTTTTCAGAACTTCATATTTAATTCTCTCTGGAATTTTTCTTCTTTTTTTACAAGCAACAATACACTTCGAAAAGTTGTAAGTCTTTAAATGAAACTGCAGTTCAATCATGATACCCTTAAAATTCTTAAAATAGAATTGAAGAGATTCGATTTTATTTTCTATTTGGATTAATAAGTAGGAGAAGAGTCAAATTTAGGAAAAATATTTAAGTACTTCACCGAAAGTGTTTATTTTTTGCATATTATATCCTTGTTGTTACACAGAATTTTGAGAGTCTTTACAGAGTGGGTGAACGCCCATTCCTTAATTCACACGATATTTATATACTTTCACTCAAAATAATCTCTTCTATCCAAAATGACAGAGAAGAGGGAATTTAAAAGTCTTTCTTAGCTAATCAAGGAGCATTCTATCCTCCTTCGACTTTAACTACCTACGATCCTAGTGCATAATAATTGAAACACACTCTTTGGTTATTTAAATTTCACTTATTATTTATTAAGACTCACTGTTTTTAATAAAGGTTTTTTTGCCTATAATTAAAATTTTTTTCAATATTTACTCAAAATCCTTTTTTCTTTAAACTAAGACATTTAAGCAGAAATTACACTAATTACACACATATGATAGGTTGATTGACTTAAGTGGCGACACAGCTACACAAAAAATGATTATTTTTTAAATAAACATTATTATCTTTACTATAATAAAGATATTATCTTTACTATTACTATCTTTCAATAGAGATATGCTTTTGTCGTGAATGTGACTCAAATCTGAAAGTACTTTCGAGATGAAATATTATCTCAACAACCGTTTCTCATTCAATGAATAATCCTTCAAAATTTTCACTAAGCAAAGTACTGTGGGGACACAGATGACTTGATTATTAATCGAGATTTTGTCACCACATTTTAAGGAATAAGATTTAAAATGAGATTTTTTATATCTTATTTGAAGATAATTAGGTTAAAGGCAATGGAAGGTTATAATTATTTTAAAATCAAAGTTAAGAATGTTCGTCAGGGTGATTAGGTTTGTGGATTTCCGTAGTGGTCACATTTCTTCTAATCTAGGGATGTATCCCCAATGTATTATAAAAATAAATGTGAAGGGTGAGCTAATTGTAGCTCACTGAGACTTGTTTACGTTCATTACAAGCTTTGACTTGCTCTTCTTCCCTTCATAGCAGTATATTCTGTCACTTTTTCTTCTTCTAGGTGCCTTGTCCGCTTCGAACGTTGGCAAACATGATTGCTATTTTGACTTTATTTACAGCCTCTCGAAAAAGTGATCTTGTACTTTTATTAAACCCTTGACTTAAATTCTTCAGCCATGATATTTTTCGTCTTCCAGGGCCACGTCTGCCTTCAATTCTACCTTCAATTCTGCCTCTGTCACTGCATTTTCAAATTTTCATTACATTTTTGACAAACATCCATTTCTGTGGTTAAACTCAGTATGTAGTTAGGATCATCTTGATTTGTATGACCATCCACAAGCATAAAATTTAATTTAACACTATAAATCATCCCATTGAAGCAATGTCAGCACTTCTGCTCGCACAAATCTATTGCAGATTGTGATATCCTTAAAGTTGTCTGGGAGAGACTAGTTATATTAATCACTGTTATTTTCGTATATTATTGTTATTAACCATATCATCTTTTAGATGAAACTAAGAAAATGCGAGAATTTCAAGTTTATTATCTCTGCCAGATCAGTGAAAAAAACCTGTATTACATTAAAGTCCGTAGTTCTAAAAATGAATGGAGAAAGTAATTAATGGATTTTACTTATAATTTATTTATGATACAATCCACTTGTCAAATTACGCCATCATTAAAGCAAGGGCACATTACTCTGTTTATACTACCGTAAGTGCACTATTAGTACTACAGAAAGATTTACAGTTCTATCAAACACGAAATCTTCGCATTTGGTCAGTAAATCATTTGAAAAGGCTACGATGAATTCTTTTATATTCTTAAAAAGTTCACACATGGGGGCTTGTACCGATATGTTAGCTTTATTTACATGCATTCCTAAACCTCTTCTGACCATATCATCTGCTACTCTCTTTCGTTGAATGTTGCTATGCCCTGGAATCTAGCAAATTGAAGCTTTGTAATATTTGATGTTCAATAGTGAGGCACGATATTTCATCACAGTCGTCGATTAAACCGTTTTGGACTCGATTGCTCCCATCTCTGACTGGCTGTTCAATTTCAAACAAATGACGAATTGCACCAATTTGTATTTTATTTGCAATTGCAATACTCAAATTAATTCATTCTGTTTAAAATTATTAATACTCTTGCTTCTTATAATAATCTTGATTTATAGCATAGTAATTTCTATTACTATAAATTATTAAAGTCTATCCTGATTGGGAATTGTACTTGGACCTTAGTAGCAAGAGCCAAAGTTGCTAACCACTAGGCTAGGTATCGAATGTATCTAATGTTCACAAATTTAAGGCTGGGTGATCATCAACTTCTTGGCGCTGAATACATGTCGTGCTTATTCCTTTTTATTTGATTTTCCATAATAAATCAAAGAGATTATTATTGATGATTTAAACCACCATTTAAAAGATTTTTCCTTGAAGTTTCCATTTTTTATTTTTATTTTTATTTTTATTTTCATTTTCATCTGCAATTATTTAAAAAAATCTCAATCTTAATTTGTCATGAATATTTTTGATTCTGTTCCAGCAATCTACTATAACATTTTTAAATGGATATCTGAGTATATTAATAAAATCTTTCTTCTTCTTTGTATCTTTTCATAAATCAACTTTTAAACTCCGACCAATTCCGCACAACAACAATGGAAACAATATCAGGTGCAATATTCGAACAAGGCACAGATGAAGTGCAGTCCGCCTTTAAATATGCGATGCTGAATCATAATCTCAATGTATCATCGAGACGGTTCGAGTTGCAAGCCTACGTGGACGTCATCAACACAGCGGATGCATTCAAATTGTCGCGATTAAGTAAGTCATCGAAAACAGATACAAAAACAAAAATACGAAATAAGAAAAAAAAAAGAGAAAATAAATTAATAAAATTTAAATGCAGATATAAAAATGAAAAAGTGGCCATTTGCAAAACTGCCTTTCATTAATTATGCACAATTTTTTTTAAATAAATTTATTGTAACTACATTTTTCGTTTAATTCGACTTTGTGCACCAACAGTTCAATATATTCAATATTTCATTGGAACCTCTTTTTTTCTGTTTATTTATTTTGTGCTTGCATCTTTCAATTTATGACTGCTACCGTTGCAATTGTGATTTCAGTATGCAATCAATTTTCGCGTGGCGTTTATTCGATGTTGGGCGCAGTATCTCCGGATTCCTTTGACACATTGCACTCGTACAGTAACACATTTCAAATGCCATTTGTGACGCCATGGTTTCCGGAAAAAGTAAGTTCAACTTTATTTAAAATAATTTCTCTATCCTATTTCCTTAATTTTTTTGTTTTGTTTCTTCCCCCCTGATGTTGCGAATGTAAATAGTTTATTTTGGTATTTTATGATTTTGGCATTTATATATATACATATATATATATATATATGCTTTATAATGTATAACATTCCGTAGCAAACAAATTTGTATGATTTATTTATGTGCAATAAAATGACTGAGTTTTTAAAAAAATATTCTTGAATTATGTTTACACAGCCAAATACGCGATTTAAATGTCGAAAACAAAATTTTTTATAGTTTATGAGCGCACATAACTTTTCCGGGCTAACACGGCGTATGATTTACATTTACTTTAAAATATTATTATTATGCACATAAGTAAGGTTTTTACGGTGCAGTGTGTGAGGATTTCACAATCATACATTTGTATATGATAAAATAAATCAGGAATCAGCCTGACTGAGTTCACTGGCTAGAAGTAGTTGGAGTAATCTTTAGACATAAATAGGTATCAATTATGGACTATATTTGGTAGTTATTTTTTACAATTGAGTCTAGGTTAACAGAGAGGGGCTAAACATGGATTTAAATATTTTTGTTTGAATTTTTGTATAAAAATTATAAGGTAGAAGAAAAATAATTGAGTGGAAGTAGTACTATCAGAGGAAGGAAAATATGGATTTCGAAATTTTTTTGAAATTTTTACATAATATTAAAAAGTAGAACAAAATAAATTAATTTATTGATAGAAACGGTAGTACCAGAGAGAAATAAAACAAGGATTTAAATATTCTTCTTATGAAGTAGAGCAATGTCAATTGTTTTATTGGTAGGAATTGTAGTGTTAGAGGGACGCAAGATATAAATTTTAATCATTTATTTAAATTTCTGTATAGAAATTGAAGAGTAGAAAAATGTTAGCTTTTTTATTGATCGAAAAAGTATTACCACTGAGAAGTAATATATGGATTTAGGCCTTATTTTAAGTTTTTGTATAAAAATTTTACTATAGAATAAAGAAAGGTTATTTGTTTTATTGGATACAGTAGTATTAGAAAGGTAAAACTTGGACTTAAATATTTTTTCAAAATTTTTCTAAAACAATAATAGAGTAAGAGACAATAATTATTTTATTAATAAAAGTAGTAGCAACAGAAGCATTATATATAAATTTTAAAATAATAATTAAAAAATTATGAAGTAGTGTAAGATGGATAATTTGATTGGTACGAGTGCTAGTATTAAAGGGAAGAAAAAGCTAGATTTAAATTTTATTACATTGATTCTTAATGTCTCTTTTGACGAAAGAAGCTTAATTATTATTATGAACGATTGTCTTCAATAGGGAAGGTTTTTTATCGAACAGTCGCGAAATTGCAACAATTATTTTTTTTTGTTTCTTCATTTAATTTTCTAATAAAATATTATGGTAGAGAAAGATTGATAAGATTATTGATAGAAATAGAAGTATAATTGCTTTATTGATAAGAATAGTAGCACCAGAGAGAAACAAAACACGGATTCTAATACTTTTTTTTCAGTTTTTATATAAAAAAGAAGTAAAAGCTTTATAAATTGGCTATGAATCCGTTAGCTTTATTAGCTTATCTATATACTTTTAGATTTTATAACTTAAATAAATATATTTTAGTCTACGAAACACAAAAAATGTTAATTCTTTTTGAAATAACTTGATTCAATGAAATATAGTTTATAATGAATATATTAAAATTACATGATTTACTCTATCAAAGTAACCCTTTAATCAGGTAATTAATGACTAGTTTGTCCTTCGATCGAATTGTGAGTAAATTGTGTGTAAAAGGAAGATTCATTAAGAATAAAAAATTTTATTTTTCGCAATTTCTGTTTCAATACTTAAAACCACTCCACTATCAGATTAAATACAAAGTTTCATAATATCTTTAAGCATAAATTTTGTTTATGTTTTTCACCGTTGACTTTTTTATTATCCATATAATTAAATTAATTATTACATTACATGTCAAATTGAAAGCAATAGTAGTTTACTATAATTAACTTTATCGTTATTATTCATCAAGTATAACATCAAGTATACAATATCAAGTGCAGTTGACAATTTTAAATTAAACATATTTTTGTCGTCAACTCCATGGATTGTTTTCGGACGCGTATTTTCCTTAATTTGTGACGTAAAATGTAAATCATACGCCTCGTTGGCTGTAAACTAAAATCAACTTTCCAGATATGAAGCAATACTATAATAATAAAAACGAAAATATGGCCGAAAATAAAGGAAAAATGAATAAAAAATTTAATAAAGTTATAAAAGCGTTCCTGTTCCAAATAAACAAATCATAATAATAATTTTATGTTTTATTATCAAAACAATGGCGGCAACAGTGGTTGTTGCCATTACTAATTCCACGGTCTCCACTGTCACTTACACCACTTAAAAGTGCTGTGCTATCTAGAGCCAGCCTGCAGTCACTGTTATTTCAATCACAATAAATCATTCGCCATAAATCCTGGCACAATGCGTGCTCTGCCTGTTTGCTTATGTGGCATCCGATGTCGCTGAGCCAAACTTTAGCTGGCGCTTATGCACAGAGGACTCACATAATCAATTCATACAGTTTCTGAGTTTTGTTATACAATATCTTTGTATTTTGTATTGTTTTCGACTTAATATTCGCGTATTTCATTTTGTGAATTTTTATCTTCTTTTTCTTCACTATTTGCCTATCAAACGACGCTTCGCTTTATGCTGTGCTCCATTGGATTTTGCAATTCTGGTATGGCATACTTGGATACTCCGATTTTGCGATTTTGCACTCGGTACATCACCCATGTACTCCGCTTGTGGGTGCGCCTTGATGTGTTGCCGATTCGTTTGCCGCTTGTGTAGGTGCTCACACCCTCATCCGGTTTTCTTGATTTTGCCATCAGTATGCGTCCCGATTATCATCAGGCGATTATTGATACAATACAATTTTATGGCTGGCGCAAAATAATTTATCTCTACGATTCGCACGATGGTAAGTAGCTCTATGCATGTAGATACTTCAATTTTCTCTCAAATCTGGCTGGCAATGTTAAGTTTGAGTTATGATTATGACTTGACAGCAATGTCAAAGCAAATATTTTTTATTATAAAAATTACAATCAACAATTTTGCTTATACTCAGATAAATAAACAGTAGAGCAGTAAACAGTGGGGCAAGCCCGAGATACAGCATAATAATAAGTAGTTCAAATTGAGCAAACAAGCCAAGAACAGCAAACAACAGCAAACAACGGCAGCAAATAAACTGACAGACAGACAAGACTGCCATGCTGAGAGACACTTAGACAAACAGTTAGACAGTTGAAGACGTACGTGTCCTATTAATAAACGAAATGTTGAGATTTTTATCATGGCCTGTCATTACTTATTGTTGCCGTCTTGTTAACGTTGGGAAGCAAATATTTTGCTTTACTGCTCGCAATAATGAACGGAAATGACACAAATTTGTATGATACGCTCTCGGAATCGTCTCATAAAATTTATATTAATTTTTAATTTAATTTGTGTGCAATTTTAATCACCGTACTAAGCAAGAGGCACTTAAAATATTGTTGAGAAATGTGCAAAATTTAATTATTCTTGTGTAAGCAATTCAATGGTAATGAATTTGCCCATTTGCTTGAATATTGAACACATTTTTGCCTTGTTAAGCTAAAATAAATGCTCTTTGAACAACAAAGATATCAGTTAACACTCTAATTGCTTATAATTAAAATTCACTGATACTTAAACTAAATCATTTTATATGAGAATTCACTTTGAACAGTAGTATAAATCAATAACGACTAAAGTAATACCAATAATATTGTTTAAAAGTATATAAATGAATCCAAATGTCAGAAAGATAATAATGTGTATATTTGTATACATATCAGAAAGATAATATTCTTCATATGTATACATATACATATTCAAAAGATAATATTGTTTATATGTGTATGTATATGTACACATCTTAATGGTTTTTTTTTTGTTTTTTTTTTAACGAGGACTAAAAATATCGAAAGCCTAAGTCAGTGCGAAACTTTAATCCGCTAAAAACATGTTCGGATGGAGAGTTCCTCCTAGTATTACGTCAGAAAGGCGTCCTGAGGATCAGCTAAAATCGTTAGTTATGTCATCTGAGTTCGTAACTGTCCTATTTCTTTAAGTAAGACCTCTCTTGTGGCACGTTCGCTGGCACGAAGCCGGCTACATCTTAATGGTTATATTGTTTATATGTGTCTACGTATTGGAAAGATAATATTCTTTCTAAGTGTATATATATATATGTAAATATCCAAAAGTTAAGATTGTTTATATGTATAAACAAACATACATATCGAAAAAATGGTACTATGCTACTGGCTTTATGTATAGGTGGCGCTGTTCTGTTAAGTCGAAGCATAAAATACCATAAATATCTTTGAACTCACATATATATTTCCATAAAGTTCTTTAAGTTAATTTAGGCTCAGATAAGTTTATAATATTTGTTTAGTATTTCGTAGGGAATAAAAATATATAAATTATAAATATAAACACATAAATATTTATGTATTCTTTTCTATTCGTATATTCTTTAAATATATTTAATACATATATCAAGAAGATAACGCTGTGGTACTGCCCTATATAAGAAGGGCAGAATAGATAATGATGGTTATTGATGATGAACCCTTTAAGAACTTTTTATGTTTCCTTTCAAGCTTGAAAGCAGAATGTACTCCAAAACTTATTCTCAATAATTTCGTTTCACTTGATTTTTTAATTTGCTCTGAAGAATGTATATATGTAGGCAAACCTATCAACAATAGCGATACTATGGCAATCGTACAAACTATGAAGAGACAATCTCTACAATGATCGTTTTAGAATGTGTATTGCAATCTTCCTGAATGGATCTAAGTACTTTGTTAAAATATTTAATTCTAACTCTGTTACAGAATTAAATACAGATGTCAAATAATGTATAATCTTCATCCCTTAACTCACTGTTCCCCTCCAAATCATTGCCGGAACAGAGCATATATGTTAAACTAATTGTCCAGGTATAAAACTGTACCGAGAGTGTGATATATCCAACTCTATTTACAGTTCTTTATTTCTTCTATGGCTGTACCAGTATTTCAGTAGAAATATGTATGAGCTTATATATGTAAATAGAATATCAATTTTGAGTAGAAACTGTTTATTAGTATTTTTATTTTGTTTTATTTTAAGTAATTTTTATTTTTGAACTTCTTTTTGTTTATACAAAAACTGCAACTCTACTTAACCTATATTCAAACCATATTTACTGATTTTGAATTCTTCATACTTTGTCTCTATCGGTATTACTTCGTTATCTGTGATGTTGGCTTGTTATTTTTAGTGTAGCTGTAACTTCAATTTATTTATATTATTTATTAGTTTCAATATTTTTGATAATATGTAGTTATAAAGCAATATATAAATAAACTCAAAGCGTTTAACTGCATTTATGTTAGTAACTAAAACTCACCAATGAACTGCCAATAGAAAATTAATTTATTAAAATTTTTGGAAATATTCACAGTTCTACATTTTAGAAATTATCAAGCACACTGG